AAAACAGTAACAAGAAGTCTCACAATGGAGACGGGACTGGGCCCGTTCGAGCAAATCAATGAACAACAGGAGGACAGTGCCACAGTGCATTCTATAGGAAGATATAGTCATGTGCAGTCATGTTGATACAAATGTCTTGGAAATAAGCAGTGCACCTGGAGAACTATATAGCAATTTGGTTATTAGCAACAATCTTATACAAAAATATCCCAAATACTTTTATGGCAATGTAGATGACAAAAGAGTTGAATTGTATGGTCTATGGAGAGAATGAATCATAAAAGGAGTCGAGTTTTCATTTTGTTTGCATTTTATTTAGTGGGCCTCCCAAGTGCTCATAAAGAATGATGCTCCCAGCAAATCTCAGTCATCAGGGACAGTATATAGTATAACCCAAGGATCTGAGGATGTGGTGCTGTTTCAACTCTGCAGTGCTGGAAATCTGGGTGACTGTAGCAATGCTTGGGGATATCTAGGGCTACATCTGGTAATACTCAAGAGTTTGAAAAATATGGTGTTAGAGATCAAACAGAGTAGGCCACATTCAACCAACTTAACTATACTACCTCCCTAACCTTGTTTTATTTTTGAACAGATGGCTTCAAAATTCATTCAACCACTAGTAGGCTAATTTGTGACAAATGAGAATAAAAATTATTTTTTCACTGTTCCCAGAAAGATTATGAAATTTTCCTCTTCAAAAATTTTCATAAAGGAGGCACATTATCTCCCTAAAAGCAAACAAAGACACCACTAACAAAGAAAATTAGAGGCCAATATCTCTAATGAACACGGATGCGAAGATCCTCAACAAAATATTAGCAAACAGAATCCAACAACTCATCAAAAAGATCACACACCACGACCAATTGGGATTCATCCCAGGGATGCAAGGATGGTTTACCATTCGGAAAACAATCAACATAATTCATCATATCAACAAAATAAAGATAAAAACCATATGATCATATCAATAGGTGCAGAGAAAACATTTGACAAGATCCATCACCCGTTTATGATGAAAACTCTCACCAAAATGGGTTTAGAAGGAACCTTCCTCAAGATAGTCAAAGCCATTTACAACAAACCTACAGCAAGCATTATCCTCTATGGGGAAAAACTAAGGGCCTTTTCTCTAAGATCAGGGACAAGACAAGGATGTCCACTCTCACCACTTCTGTTCAATATAGTACTGGAAGTACTTCCAATAGCAGTTAGGCAAGAAAAAGATATTAAGGGCATAGGAAAGGAAGAAATCAAGCTCTCACTATTCGCAGATGATATGTTGCTGTATCTAGAGAATCCTACAGCCTCTACCAAGAAACTCCTGGAAACAACGAACTTGTACAGTAAAGTCGCAGGCTATAAAATCAATACCCAAAAATCCATGGCCTTCCTATATGCAAATAATGAGACAGAGGAAAGAGACATGAAAAAAGCAATCCTGCTCATAATCGTGCCCCAGATAATCAAGTACCTCGGAACCAGCCTAAGAAAGAAAAGGACCTCTACAACGAAAACTACAAAACGCTACTCCATGAAATAAAAGAGGACACTGAAAAATGGAAACATATCCCCTGCTCATGGATAGGAAGAATTAACATTGTCAAATGGAAATACACCCCAAGGCACTATACAGATTCAATGTGATCCCTATAAGGATACCCATGAAATTCATTAAAGAAATGGATCAAGCACTCCTTAAATTCATTTGGAACAACAAACACAAAAATCTAAAGCAATTCTTGGGAAAAAGACGATGTGAGGCATCACCCCCCCCCCCCCAACCTCAAACTCTACTACAAAGCAGTAACAATTAAAACAGCATGGTACTGGAACAAAGGCAGAGCCACAGACCAATGGAACAGGATGGAATATCCCTATACACAACCCCAAATGTATGAACATATAAACTTTGATAAAAGAGCAAGAAATGTTAAGTAGAACAAGGAAAGCCTCTTCAACAAATGGTGCTGGCATAACTGGACAACCACATGCAAAAAAAATGGGCTTAGACCTCGACTTGACACCATGCACAAAAGTTGGATCAAAGTGGATCAAGACCTCAACATCAGACCAGAACCCATAAAGTACACAGAAGACAAGGCTGACAAAACACTCCACGATATTGCGGCTAATGGTATCTTCAGAGATGGCATGCCACTGACCAACCAAGCAGAAACAGAGATAAACAAATGAGACTATATTAAACTCAGAAGCTTCTTTAGAATGGGAAAGGCTACTCACCCAGTACCCATCCAATAAGGGGTTGATATCAAGGATATACAAAGCACTGGTTGAACTCCACAGAAGAAAACATCGAGCACCATCAAAAAATGGGGTGACAAAATGAACAGAAACTTTCTCAAAGAAGAAATCTAAATGGCAAAAAGGCAATGAGAAAATGCTCTACATCACCAATCATCAGGGAGATGCAGATCAAAACAACAATGAGATATCATCTCGCACCAGAGACTGGCCCACATCCAAAAGAACAAAAGCAAACGGTGTTTGCAAGAATGAGGGGAGAAACAGACTCTCCTTCACTGCTGGTGGGAATGCTGACTGGTTCAGCCCTTTTGGAAAACAGTACGGACGATTCTCAAAAAATCAGAAATTGAGCTCCCATTTGACCCAGCAATACCACTCCTGGGAATATATCCTGGAGAGGCAAAAAAGTACAGTTGAAATGACATCTACACTTGTATGTTCATTGCTGCACTGTTCACAATAGCCAAAATCTGGAAAAAACCTGAGTGCCCGAGAACAGATGACTGGTTAAAGAAACTTTGGTATATCTACACAATGGAATACTATGCAGCTGTTAGAAAAGAGGAAGTCATGAAATTTGCAAACAAGTGGTTCTACATGGAAAGTATCATGCTAAGTGAAATGAGTCAAAAAGAGAGGACTAGACATACAAAGACTGCATTCATCTGGGAAATATAAAGTAACAGAATGAGACAAACACCCAAGATTAGTTAAGATGAGTACCAGGAGGTCTGTTCCACACTTGGAAGCCGGCAGCACAAGCTGGGGGAAAAGGCAGCTCGGACAGAGAAGGGAACACCAAAGTAAAGGATGTTTGGAGGATTTGCTTGGGATGCGAGATGCGTGCTGAAAGTAGACTATAAACCAAAACCGATGACCACTCAATACCTCCACTGCAAACCACAACACCCTAAAGGAAAGAGAGAACAAAGGGGAATGCCCTGCCACAGAGGCGGGGTGAGGGGATGGAGTATGGGGGTGGGAGGGCTACTAGGAACATTGATGGTGGAGAATGGGCACTGGTGGAGGGATGGATACTTGATCATTGTATAACTGAAACCCAAGCACGAAAGTTTGTAAGTCTACAACTGTACCTCATGGTGTTTCACTAAAAAAAAAAGATCCATAAAGGGTATAATAATAATCATTATTTACAGATAATATACATAGCACTGTCCTCCCGTTGTTCACTGATTTGCTCGAGTGGGCCCATTAACGTCTCCATTTTGAGACTTGTTACTGTGTTTGGCATATCGAATATACCACGGGTAGCTTGCCAGGCTCTCCGAGAGGGGTGGAGGAATCGAACTCAGCTCGGCTGGGCCTACCGCTGTGCTATCACTCCAGCCCCATCTTTGTACATTCTTAATTTCAGGTGTTCAATTGTTATAATTAGATATGTTTCTCATCAAGAATATTCCACTATTATCCTTCCCACAAATTTAAATTGCTCTATATTCACAGTAATACACACAACAGATTAGTTTTTATTTATGCAGTGATGCTACCAAAAAAATTCCAAGATCAACATGCATCAAAACTTATGTAAAGAATTTAATTATATTTTGTATTAGACGTTAGAAGGGCAGCGAGATAGTATTATTCCATGAGCTGCTGAATACTGAAAACCAACACACAAACTGACACAAGTCCTTAAATGTGATAGTTTGTTGGTAAGATAATATACTCTTGAAATGAAAAGAAAGGGCATACCAAAGGAAATACCTAAACAAAGGTTGAGTCAGAAAGGAGAAGAAAGAGGTGGGAGAAAGGAGACCAGGAAAGGGAAGAGAAAGGGGAACTGAGAAGGGCAAGGCAGGGAAAGGAGAAGAGAAAAAGGTAAGGAAGGAAAGGGGAGTGCCGTGAAAAGGGAAGAGAAGATAGAAGGAAAGGGAGGGGAAGGGGAGGGGAGATAGATGGGAGGGGAAAAGGAAGGATCTAATGAAAAAACAGGCTAAGCCCATTCGTTAAACTCTAATTGATCAGTAAGAACTTCATTAGGTTAGTAAGAGTTCAAAGTTACACATATTGGAAGGTTAGAAATAGAAACTTGATAAAGCCCTGAAAGAGAAAAAATAGGCAAGTACAAAAACATAAGAACGCAAAACTGGTCTAATTATACCATATACTGTATAATTTAGATTACCAGAATTTGAAGAATTGAATTTGTATAAAAAATTTTTCATAAATTGTTAGATTTAGCTGTGTACTAAATTCTTTATTTCACACGGTATGATTAAACTACTGGCCTTGCGGAGAAATAACTCAGAATTCTATATCATCTACATTTGAAATATACTTCGTTTAAAGTTTTCTCTCATAGCATCCCTATAGATAGTCTTTCTACTGGAAAGGATTACATAACAAAGACAAAGTTTCATTTAAGTCTGCCCTATAGCTCTACATATCAGCTAAACAATCTACTTCACATACATTTTTTTAAAATAAAGATTTAAAAGTAACATTGTTCACAACATTCATCTTACCAACACTCCACGCCTGAGTACTTCCTATCATATCACCATCTCTCAATCTGAGAATCACAGGAGAGCCTCTGTCTCCCACTAGAATGTAACTTCATCACCATCGTGGCGTTCACAAAGCCTGGCACTGTGCCTGAACCATGTCCACTCAACAAAGATGGCACTCCTTTCCCAGTGCTTTCTTCCAGGAACCCGAGAGACCAGGCACACACTGCTGAGTAAAGACAATGCAACTGGTAAACTTACATCTTTTTCTGACCGATGTGGAAACATAGAAGACTGGCTGTAGTACATGTTTTCGTCATGGTAGTCACTGTCGACCCCCTCTACAAACTTCTTTCTTGAAGCACCAAACATGCTGTTTGTCACCTAAACAAAAATATTACTTTTATCAAGTGGAATATTCTGGAAAATGTCACCCTTACTCCAATGTGAAATAGAAAAAGAGAACTATGATTTAGATTAACTATGTGCTATGGAACACACAAGACAGTTTATTACAAAAGTACGAAAATGCTTATTTCCAAGTATTGAAAGAAAAACTCAAAGTTGGTTAATTTATTTGGTAATTCTACTATAAAAAGAACTAAGCATCAACTACTTTTGAAAAATGGCAATCCTTCTTTTTCCTTTGGGTGGGTGAGGAGGGGACAGGTGTGGTTAGGTAACACCTGGCAATGCTCAGAGGTTACTCCTGGCTCTGCACTCGGAAATTACTCCTGGTGGGGAGCTTGGGGGACCATATGGGATGCTGGGGATTGAACTCCAGTCAGCTGCATACAAGGCAAGCACCCGACCCACTGTACTCTCTCTGGTCTGAAAAACAGAGGAGTCTTATATGTAATTTTCCAAAACAAAGACTTTAAATTTGGGCTTAATTACTTAAAATTTTCACATGTATCTTCATCAGTAACTTTGTCATGATTAATTTGGTTTTTTTTTTTTTTGGGGGGGGGGCTTTTCAGGTGACACCCAGCAATGCTTAGGGATTATTCCTGGCTCAAGAACCACTTTTGGAATTGCTTGGAGGACCATAGGGGATGCCAGGAATCGAACCCAGGTCAGCCACATGCAAGGCAAATACCCTACCCGCTGTGCTATTGCTCCGGTCCCAGTCATGATTAATTTTTAAGTTATCTGTACTCCACTGCATATGTTCATTTATAATCTAAGTTTATATACAGTATTTTTTGAACTGAATTTTTGTTACTATCTTAGGGCCACACCCAATAGTCAGGGAATCAAGCAGTGTCAGGGATCAAACCTGGACCTCCTGTATGCAAAGTATGCACTGTTGACCTATTTCTCTAGCCCCACAACGACATGTATCTCAAGCCAGAATACACTCATATCACTCACACTGCTGTACATTTATACCCAGCAGTGAGCAGGGCTTTTGTGCTCAGGGATCATTCCTAGCCGTGATTAGGGACATGTGGTGCTAGGAATCAAGTTGGGGTCTGTGACATGTAAGGCCAGTGCTTTAACCTCTGGTAATTACCATCTTTCTGGCTCATAATTTTGTTTTTTATATGTCTTTTCATATTAAACACCACAATTCTGAGCCCACACCAAAATTTTGAAATCATTAAATTTTTGTGTATGCTTTTTTTGTGTTCCCCCTAATAGTATTTGGGTAAGTACAATGTAAATGAAAATTTGTTAAGAGATTTGCAAAGACCTGAATACCTGGTAACCATGTCTGTTCACATGAACAATTTTGAGAAAGGGTATTTTCTTTGGTCATGAATAAAAATAAGCAACTTATTTCACCTTTTTCAAAATGAAGCAAAGGGACCAAAGAGACGGAGCATATTCAAGGAGCATGGAAACTGGTGTCTGATTCCCGGTAGTGCATGGTTAACTGAGCATCACTGTGTGTGTCCCCAAAACAAATCAGAGAAATAAAACAAAAGTAAACACTAGAGTTACTGTAGTTTAAATGCAGAATAGTGAACTGATATGTTGCAGACTTTCTTTTCAATAAAAAAATTTTATTGAAAATTTTTTTCTGGGTGTGAGGGGAGAAAAAGCGAATACATGTTCAAGAGAGAACATGGGACTGAAAAACAAGCAAGCCACGTTGCAGACTTTAAACACCAACTCTGAAGTTCCAGTCTGCTCAAATCACACAGACATAAAATAATCACCAACTGTCTGATATCTTAAGTGTCTTATAAAAGTTGCAGGAAATTCAAAGGTTTGGTTATTCCAGTTAAGGTCTGAAAAAAAAAGCTATTCAGTTAAATAACAAACAGTCTAAAGATGGTTTAGCCATTGTTATGGTGTCTGTTTTGACTTACTCTTTAACATGAAATTTACACATTAACAACGTGAAACAGAGATATTTTTAAAAGGGCTATATATTATATGCCTACCATCTGTTGGCAGTGGAATCCCTGATGAGTCTCAAGTTTTTCTGTAAGGGGCCAGAGCTGTACAGTAGGTAAGGCACTTGCCTTCCACATGGCCGACAGGGATTCAATACCCAGCATCCCATAAGGTTCCCTGAGACTGCCAGGAGTGGTCAAAAAAAAAAAGTTTTTCTGTAATTCTGAATGTAGTTTCAGTACAGGGATCCTACAGCCTTGTCTCCAACTACACAGATGATTTCTAAGAGGGGGGAAAAAATCCAAACCAGTGAGCTCCAAACCAGTGAGCCCCTCTACCCCCACCCTGTGAGTCTTATTTCAAATATATGAGGTAAAGGGAAAATCATTCTATAATATGCATGTTTAGATTTTGTAAACCTGAGATGTTAAATCTGTTTTACAAAAGTTAAGTATATTGGGTCTGATCCCCAGCACTGCACAATTTTACTGGGAGCATCCCCTGAGCATGAGCAGAGGAGCTCAGCAGGTGTGGTCCAAACAAAGTAAAACAAAAAAAAATTTAAGGATATTATTTATTTTCTTTACAGAAACAGGGATGGAAGGAAGGGAAGGAGGGAGACTAAAGTTTTAAAAGTGCAAAAATGGAAAAACTGGCATGAAACTTACAGAATGCAGTAAGATTTCTAAAGTATCAGAGTATCTCTTCTCAGTAAATTCTACACTGGTCTAAATTAACTTAAATAGCTACAAAGTAAAATCCTCCTTTACAATTTTTGTATGACATCTATCTGAAACTATACAGAATAAAAAAAAAACCCATGCTAATACTGTGCATAGCCTTTGGTTGTTCTGAAAACAAAATTAAATGTATCAAACACCTTAAAAAAAAAACCAGATTCCTCTTCCATTCATACCACATTTCTTTTCAGATTCATTTTGTGTGTAGAGAGCACAAATATGCAGAATTTGTTGTAGCTTTGTGTGTTACAACACAGAGATTACAAATTGGTGAAAATATTAATTATTCTTTGCCTTCAACATAAAGCAGACAAAAACAATAAAAGCAAAATCTAATCAGCTCTCCAAAGGCAAGTACCAAAGGATGGATGGCCAGAAATAAACAATTCTCTGATCCTTGAAAAAAATCATAAAAAATGAAAGAAAAAAGGAAAACAAATCTGAGCAATTTTTTCTGAAACAAAATTTTAGTTTTAAAGTTTTTATTTAACTTGAAATGGTCTGTTGTACTTTACTTCAAAGAGAATGATGCAACAAAGTATTTTAAGTTATCCAGGAAGAGGAAACTGAGCAGTTAAAAATCAAGCAGATAAATAAGGTAACCAATCAGGCAAAGATGTGGGAAGGTAACCAATCAGGCAAAAATGTGGGAAGAACATTTCCCACAGAGGGAATAAACAGCAAGATCTTCCATGGCTCAGGCAGCACAAACCACCGGAGAAATGTTAGGAATTGAAGTTAGAGATCTGGGGGAAACCAAAGCATGTAGACCCTGCAGGCCTAAGGAATTCCAGATTTTATTACAAGAAATGTAAAATTAAGAGAGAGTTTGGGCAGTTTAAGAGTGATGCAACAGGCATATCACAATTCTGAAAGAAATGGACAATGTGGCGTAAAAAAAGAGAAAACAGGCTGATTAGAGATTAGGGCTCACACTATGGGTAGTGGTAGGAGTAACATGCCCTGAGGGAGCGCAAACACTACTGACAGAAGCCAGAAGAAGCTTACCAGTATTAAAAACGATACATGAACATTATACTCAAATACTGAAATTAATAGTCATATCACATGTATATATAGTACGTCAATGCAGTAAATAAAAATTTTTTAATAAATTTTAAAACAAAATCATACTTTATTTTATAGACATATAAAATTTGCCAGATTTTTTGGCATGAAAAACTTGTCAGCTTTTTTCAACCAGACATATTGAGGCCTGTATTTATTTTATTAACTGGTCACTTTTTCAACTCAGGTCAGATATTAGAGAATAAAATTGAAATTTTAGGGCCCGAGTACAGCAGGTAGAGCCTTGCACATGCTGAGGTCTTAACTAAGGTCAGACTAAGGTTTAGTACGTAGGCATTTCTACCTAGAAAGTACAATTTCATACACTGAATCAGTAATATTTACAACTAATTTCCTAAATTACTCTCACCTACTGCGTAGTATTAGGTATCTTTCTAGTTCTACTCTTTACCGTGGTTTTCATATCGATTTTTGCCATTTTTCCTATCACCTCTGTTTTACTTCTGAAAAGCTTCAAGTATTCTGAGTGGGCTCTCATCACACTGCAGTGAAATCTGCTGAGGAGGTTGCCTATCTTAATTACGCTAAAAAGTTTAACAATGAAGACAAAGGTAGAAGTAACAGACCCAGACCCAAGTCTTGTCTAAGTTTAGGGTCTAGCTAAAAATTAATTCTGTAAGTAATCAATTACAACATGAAAATCTACACAGGTGCTTTGAGAACACGGTCTGGGGGGGAAAAGATCACAAAGACTTTTAAAAATAAAGGTAATATTTGGGAAACTAAATTCTAGTCCCATAGAGTAAAAACTAAAACCTCCAGTTAGAATCCGAAATAGGGAGTAGGAGTGATAATACAGTGGTTGAGTACTTGCATTGCATACGGCCACCTGGGTTACCCCAAACACCCCGAGAAGTGCAAAGCCAGGAATAACTCCTGAGCAGCGCTGCGTATGGCCCCAACTGGTTCTCAGTATCCAGGTTTGTTTGATTGTTCTGTATGTGCCACAGCTGGCTGTGCCCAGGGCTAACTCCAGGCTCTGTGATAAGGGATCACTCCTGGAAGGCTCAGGGAGAAAACCATATGGCTCAGTATTGTGCAAGGTGGGCACTCTTTATTTTTTTTTCTTTTCTTTTTTTTTTTTTTAATTATTTTTAGTGAAAACACCAAGAGGTACAGTTGTAGATTTACAACTTTTTGTGCTTGGGTTTCGATTATACAATGATCAAATACCCATCCCTCCACCAGTGCCCATTTTCTACTGCATGG